ATATATATATATATATATATATATATATATATATATAGCTTCACTTATCAGGAAAAAACTATCCTATCTCTCAAGTTGGACCAAACTGCATAGAGTGTGCAAAATTTCATTGAAATAAGTTCAGTAGTTTAGGAGTTCATAGCGGACAAACAACGTGACACGTAATTTTTATATATAGAGATATAAGTTATTTCTGGACATTATAATTTTTGTTAACTATTTTTCTGCCCTTGTTCTTTTGAAAATGGAACTCTTTGCCAATATTATTGTGTATGTATTTTATTAATTTGCCATTTGTTTATGATTTGGCGACAAATTGAAAATTGTGTAACGTCAGCATGTATATAACGCGAGAAAATTTTCGCACAATGATTTTTTATGAGTTTTGATGTCATTTAAGTCAACAAGAAAGTTATGATAGACTTCGATTGGCCTTTCACGATGAAGCCCCATCTCATGCCACTGTTTACAACTGATTTTTTGGGTTTAAACGAGGTCGCAGTAATCTCACCGATGATCTGCGTGAGGGTCGACCTTCTACGGCGACGACATTGAAGATAACGTTAGTGTTGTGCGGCGTATGATAGAGACTGACAAAAGAGTGACTTGTCAGCAGATTTGGACAAGCTTAGGCATCGGTATGAGTCAAATGCACAAAATCCTCCATGAATATTTAGCGGCCAGGAAGCTTTGTGCCTGGTGGATACCTCATAATTTGACAGAGGCCCAAAAACTCCGTCGTGTTGATTGGTGTCGTGAAATGGTTAAAATATTGACCGCAGGTGACTCAATGCTGTGTTCGACATACTTACGGGTGACGAAAGCTGGATTTATTGTTATGATCCTGCAACTAAGAGACAGTCTGCTGTCTGGGTGTTTCCTTCCGAGGAGTTGCCAACTAAAGTGAAGAGAGGTCGAAGCGTGGGAAAATAGATGGTGGCCTGGTTCTTCGGAAGGACAGGTCATTACGCAACAATTGGTTTAGAGGATCGAAAAACAGTTACTGCAGAGTGGTACACTAAAAATTGTTTGCGACTTGTCTTGAAAAAGTTCGGGAGGAACAACCTCGCAGTAGGATCCTCCGTCACCACGACAACGTTTCATCGCACACCGCCAAGCAAACAATCGACTACTTGGCGACGTCAGACGAGGAATTACTGGGTCATCCGCCCTATAGCCCTGACCTCGCACCTTGCGATTTTTATTTATTTTCAAAAATAAAAGAAAAACTTTGAGGAAAACGTTTTATTGACGCCGAGGAAGCATTGACTGCGTTTCAAAATGCCGTCGAAAAGACCCCTAAGGACGAGTGGGCAAAGTGCTTTTCTCAGTGGTTCCATCGGATGCAGCGATGTATTGATGTAAATGGACACTATTTTGAAAAGTTATAATAAAAGTAATAACTGGCTAGTTTGTTCAGTTTTTATTTTCTAAGAGCTTTCTGTGTCACCTACGTGGCAGCTGTCCTATACAATAACTAATAATATTGTCTTTAGAGTAAAAGTAAATACTCCTGACATGAAGTAGAAATATATTTCGAAACGTAGAACTGAATAGATGGATGAGTGACTGCCTTTGCACTTCCTCTGCCTTAAACTGAATTCTACTGAACCATTAGAAAAAAACACTAGCCACTAAAAGCATTATTACTCCACTAGAAGGTCGAAACTACCAGTTTTAGTGGAAAATCCACGAAGTTAGCAACACTGAAGAATTTTCCTTTCGTTACTCCTGCCATCTATCTATATATTGAGGTTTTATCAAGACACAAAATAATATTAAACTAGTTATTTTGTCTTGATAAAACCCCGCAAAAATTATGATGGGACCTGTTCCCATACATTTTAGACTTTAAAATTCTATTACCAAGTTTCCTTCCCCTGGGCAATACTGTTCTGTAAGGTAACAGAAACACAATGCAGCTATTTGTAAAAATATGATTGCAACATTCATTTGATCAATCGCAACCGGTAATATGGCTTAAGGTGCAGATGTGTTCGTTGTATTAATAATAATTTGAGCATGGTTTTAGCGTCACTAGAAATATCGCAGTATTCCATTAATCTTTCTTTGTCAGTTTAGGTTATGAAAAGCTAGTAAAATGGGGGCGATCAAAGATGTTTTATAGGTCCAGATACATTGTTGCTAACACACCGCACCGTTCACAGTGATGCCAGTCTTTGATTCATGTCTGCGTGAGTACCACGTGACTCGCATATTTTATGTACCATGGCTGCATTAATGTGCGTGACTTCGGTAATAACAGTGCGAATCGATTACCCAAAAAATGTGGGAGATTTTATAGTTCATTCATATTGACGTACCTATTGATTCTACGAGTATAAAATGTGTGTGCGAGGCGTGTGCATTTGTGTGCGTGTGTGTATGGGGATATGGTTGGTTATGTGTGTTTTATGTAGGTACGAACATCGCACTAAAATATTGAAAATATTTAATAAAACCTATAATTAATATAACAGTTAAAATAAATAAAAAAGCACAGTAGATATTTATTCACGTATCATATATTTATAATATATTATTTTTAAATATATACAGAGTACTACACTTTTGTACTATAGAACACAAAATATTGCCGCTTTTTACGAAGACATCAATTATTTTTCAATCCTAAGTAAAATGACGAAAAGAAGTAAGTTTGGTTAAGCGTAAACTTCGGCCAAGAGATAGCAAATGTTTAATTTTTTTAAATTGATCCATTCCGTTACTGCGTGAAGGAAGGACAAAAACAAATAAACAAAAAATCACACTTTAACATTTATAATATTATATTAGTATGGATTGTCAAGAATGATAGATAAACTTTTGAAACCGGTTTACAATCGGCTTTTTGAGGGTGGGACTATACACTCCCGCTTTCTTTCTCGCTCTAGTAAATAACGTTTCTGAGAGACCAAAAAGGATAGAAGCACAGGAAAGTGCGATTCCGTGCTGCCAGATGTAGTTCTTAAAACGGTTTAACTCTATAGGTTGGGTAAAATCTGTAAAATGAGACCGTTTAAAACCCCTATACAGATAAACCTTCCGGTTGATAATGACATTAAAAAAATGGTAAAAACAGTTCATAGACTAGGCAACACTCGAATATTATTGCGCAGTATTATTACTTGTATTGACATTTAGCTTTCGTATTATTTTACAAAGAAATACACCACTAAATTGTATAGTTACTTATGAAAAGTGATGTTCTTATCTTTATCTTTTTTCCAAGAGTAATTTTTACATGATTTCACAGCAGAAACAGTCATTTTGCGAAATTAAAAACACCGGTGCGTGACGTATGTTCACAGTGAACGTCGCTGGCGTAATGGCGGAACGATCGAACGAATACACCAGTATTGGCGCCTTTGAAATGGAAGCGTTTTAGGCGCGCGTACACGGTATCTGGACCTATAAAACATCTTTGGGGGCAATCAACACTTATGTGAGCAGCATGTTCGTAAGCCCCCTCTTCTATAAAAATATAGGCTGAATCATGGTCCGTAATTTTACTAGTAATTTTTTTTAATATAGCTTGATTAGAATGATATATCGATAAAATATTCATAAATATTAATAAAAAATATGCACCCAATACTTATATTTAAACATTAGGACTCATTTTGGGCTAATAAAAAAAAACTAAAAATTATAATTAAAATAGAAAAAATTATAATAACTTATTGACACAAGGGTGTACATCACTGGAATATTCTTCGAGATTAATTGTTAATTCCTGATCACACAAATAATCAAAGCGGAAATCACGCTGCCAATCTTCTGTGATAATTCTTCGCGTTTTATCGATCCCCCCCTTCCAATCATTTCGTGTTACATGTTCATTGTATGCATTGCATTGCATTCCCTATATATAATGTACTCTGTGATGCATTGTTTAACAAATTTAACATTTTATTTGCCGTGAACGGTGGGGTGGTGTTGCTTGCTGCATGACCTAAAACGAAAACAATGAGTTATTTTTTTTAAATTAGTGATATACTAAATTAATCAACTTCATTTATATATAAATACCTTCGACTTGCGCCCAAATCAATTCTATTGCGTTATACTGGCAATGATACGGTGGCAGGCGAATAACAGTATGTCTCTTTTCTTTTGCTAGCTCATCCAAAACATATATTGGCGTTTGGGGCTTTTGTATTCTCACTAAACGCTAAAGTTCTTTTTTCTGCCGACTTCCAAAAAAGAGACGGTACTCAATTCGACTGTATGTTTTTTTATACGTGTGTTACCTCATAAATTTTTGCTGGGTGAACCGATTTCGATGATTCTTTTTTTATATGAAAGCTGATACTTCTCGTGTGGTCCCATATGAATTTGATCAAGGTCAGGCCAATAGTTTTCGAGTTATTCTTAATAACTCACCTCACTTTTTTTACGTAGTAGAGCCATGCTGCAGCTATATTAGTAGTATAGTTGTAGCACAAATGGGTCGGTTCAACCGGGGAAGGACCACGCTCTCACAGAATACCAGCGTCAAATAGCAGCTTCATGCTGCTGTGTTTCGTATGGTGAGTGTAGAGACCCTTTTTACTGGAAAAGAGGCATTCTATCTTAGTCCTCACAGGTGACAACGCATCTGCATTTTAATTCGCAAACTCTAACGCAATGTCTATGGGCCACAGCAACCACTTACCATCAGGTGGACTGTGTGCTCGTTTGTCACCCTTATCCTATAAAAAAAAACATAACTTATATTGAAGTCGGCTGTACAAAATTTTAAATTATCAACATAGTGGCGTCGGCTTGTACTTGAGTGTAGAAAACCGGAGACCCTTTTTACTGGAAATCGGGTACTCGATCTCAGTCGTCAAGGGTGACAACGCATCTGCATTTTGATTTTTAATGGAAGATAAAATGTAGATGTCTATGGGTGCCAGCCTTCACTTAACATCAAGTGGAATGTGTGCTCGTTTGTCATCCTTATTATATACAAAAAAGAAACTCGGGTGCTGCGTTGAAATAAAATAGAATATATACAATAAATGCTTTTTTATTAATTAACAAATAAATGCAGTTAAATCAACTTTTACCACACATTGTACTTGAATACAATTTCATTACAAAATGACCTTGAAACTTTATTCTTTCTTCTTTTTACTTGGAGACTCGTCGTCTCTCGCGCTGCTCCTTCTCTTGCGGTCATTGACTTCTTTCTCTTGTTTGCTCTCCTTCTCACTCTCTTCTTTAGTCTCTTGTATTGTTTTCTTGACGCGCGCCTGTTCCGGTGAGTAGGCCCAGAGGAGCATTTCTAAATGCTCTTTTGTAGGCTCGTCCTTTTCATCGAATAGTTTTGCATCGGCGTGCTGAAAAAAAAGTTAAAAGGCTTTTAGCACTTCCTTCTGCACTGGATTCGGCGGACAAAAACTTTATTTGAAACCTTTTTACTTATTATAAGGTACCGTGTTATGTAGTGATAGTGTAAGACAATCCACTATACCATATCATCCCGTGGGAGATGGGCAGCAGCGTCTTCCTGATAACGACTAATAAAAAAAAACTGCGGTCGTCAAACCGCTTGCCAAGCGTGGCAAATATTGCAAATATCCCCCTTATGGGGCAATATACGGTAAAGGCTTATGTTCAACAGTGGAATTTAATAGACTATAACTAAATAGCAGTAATAGATTAAATACGGGCCACAGTACCCAATTTTCATCAAGTGGGCTATACACTCGTTTGTCACCTATAAAAAATGACTTCCGATACGAAAAGTGTAACCATCTCGTCTGGTAAATCAGCACTGTTAAGTGCAGCAGTTTTAACTGCGTGCAGTCAATGGGAATGTTATATAATATGTTTATAGTAAAATTATTTTGTGCGTGCAGTTAGGGTCATAGCTCGGCCTCAGCCCGGCTAGGGCGGTGAGCATGATGCGCGGGCGCAATGCCATTATCGATAACAACAAATTTAATTTTAGATATAAGTTATTATCTTTATATTTATTTTTAATATAACTTGTTACATTCTAAAAATTTGTACTTATAGTTTTTTAATACATAGATACCTAATTAATAATTTATTTTAAATCATTATTATTCTTATTTTAATAAATAGGTTGTTATATATATATATATATATATATATATATATATATATATATTTTCGTTTTTATCACTAACCCACATAATGACAAAACAAAATATAAATATATATCGATAGCGCTTATCGACAACAATAATGAGCATCACTATGCTCGGCACTAAGGCCCGTAAGTGGGAGAGTGAGCGAAATACTCCGATGATTTATGACCCAAACTGCACGCACAAAATAATTCTAGTATAATTATATACATTGATGTAAGCAGCGCTGGTCCCTCGAGCCGGATTTCTTAGCGATAAAACAAGTACCTTCTCTTTAAGATCCTTGAGCGCGGCGTTCCTCACGATGTCCCAGGTCTTTCCGCCTTCCTTCTCAGCGACAGTGCGCAGACGTTTGTATTCACCGTTCACTGAACTGTACGCAGCTATGAAGGCTTTCTGTGGGGAAAGTGGTCAAATTATATTTCTTTTTATAGAATAAGGATGATAAACGAGCAAACAGCACATCTAATGGTAAATGGATGGCCTACGGATATCTACATCTATCCTTGATTAAGAATCAAAATGCAGATGCGTTGTCAGCCGTGAGGACTGAAATGTAATGCTCTGAATCACTCACCATACGAAACACATTATCATTCCGCTGTAACTTGCAAGTGATTTGCATAAAAAATTAAATGTCACAATGATTCTATGATGAGATTATCCCAAAATATCTATTAGTTAATATAAATTATTCGCATGTTCTATTAATTTTTAGAATAACGTATGAAAAGTACTGGAAATAATTTATATGTATATACAAAATATATATTATGCTTAAATATACAGATTATCCGGTAATGAATGGATAACTTTAAAATAGCATACAATAGACATTATGGCCGACTAAAAGAAAATATTCCAAGTAGCACCCATTGAGTTATATGTACTATGTACTAGAGAAGCTATTCCAAAAAAAAAATAGTGCGTTACTCTGTTTTCGCGCAATAAGATATTAATATATATATATATATATATATATATATATATATATTATATAAGAATTTAATACAAAATACTCTTATTTTAATCTAAACAAACATATTTCTAAATAAAATGTAATAATAATTATCTTATGGAATTCACAAATCTTCAATTTACGCAATATTTAGTTTAGTGTTCAGTTGAACATAGTCAATGTTCGGAATGCGAAATCTAGTGTGTAGTACATATATATCGATGGTAGTACCTAACATACGATTTATTAGGAAAAATTTTACTAACTAACCAGCACTCTAACCTTGCTAATCAGCAAGAAGCTTCTTCCTAGGTCAGAGGTTTTTTTCGAACCAGTAACAAGAGTTATCTATATTGAGTACCTATAAGAGTTATCTTTATTTACAATTATGACTTAGCGGTGTTTACCTATAAGTGATTGTGCAATTTGTATAAGACTATATTATACCTTTGTTTGAATTTGTATGTTAACTTGTAACAATTGTAGGAAGGGTGGGCGTTCAAGTATTAAGTAAGCAGACAGAGGGGGGGGAGGGTGAAATGTTTCATACTTTTGCTGATAGTGAGCGGGGGACTGTTGAAAATCTTACGTATGGTAAAAAAATATATAAAACAATATTAGATAGCCGTGGACAATAAATTATTGTTCTATAATTTTAAAAATAATTGTGTCTATTAAATTATAACTTTAACATTTAATAGAATTATGAAAAAATTCTTACGGTTTACCTTATCATTTGTGTGAGGTGGGAGTTCGCAATTTTCTTATTTTCGTCAGCCTAGACTATTTAAATAAATACACAGAGTCATACGGATACCTGTTGGTCCGTCGCCGAGTCGGCCGCCATGTTGAGACATGTCCGCACTATCCCGAGACTTAGGTACGGGTTGTTCTGCTTGCTCAGGTGCATCGTGTCGAAGTCGTCGAGGAACTTGTCGAAGATCGACATCGCCTCCTTTATATTTGATAGTTTGGTCTCATCGCGCGTGCCTGCAACAGATACAGAAACTTTTTTAGGGTTCCGTACCCGAAGGGTAACCAACGGGACCCTATTACTAAAGCCTCCGCTATCCGTCTGTCTGTGTATCAGCGGGCTGTATCTCATGATCCGTAATAGGTAGACAGTTGAAAATTACACAGAATGTGTGTTTCTGTTGCCGCTATAACAACAAATAATAAAAATAAAATAAATTAAAAATTAAAGGCGGCTCCCCTACTAGAAACGTGTTTTTCGATATTACGGAACCCTCCCATGCGCGAGTCCGCCTCGCACTTGGCCGGCTTTTTATAGAATGAGGGTGACAAACTAGCACACAGTCCACCTGATGGTAAGTGGATGCTGTGGCTCATAGATATCTACGTGTATCCTCCCATAGAAACAAAATGTATGGTATCTACCATGTGAACTAAGATGGAATGCCTCTCTTCCAGTAAAATGGGTCTCCGGTTCTCTACACTCACCATACGAAACACAGCAGTGTTAAGCTGCTATTTCACGCTGGTATTCTGTGAAGGCATGGTCCTTCCCCGGTCGAGCCAACCCGTTCGTGCTACAACCATCTATTTATCACTATAACAAAACTCTAACACGTCTGTCTGAACACGCATCACGCATAAACTTCTAAACCGATTTAGATGGGACCTTCACTGACAGATAGCTGATGCAGTAAGGAGTAACTTAGGCTACTTTTATTTTAGAAAAAGAATTATGGTTTTGCGGAAAAAAATTAAAACCCATGAAATCCGAATTCCACGCAAGCAAAGTCGAGAGGAACAGCTAGTAATATATATACCTGTAGCGTGGCTCTAACTCGTATGGATTATAAATAATACTTATTGAAAGTCACTTCTATATTTAATTTACCAATGGTTTGGAAAATACCTCAGCACTTGGAAGAACCAGCAAGAAACCCAGCGGTACTTAGAGCGGGGATTAACAACACAAAACAAATTAGAAATAGCTTGGTACCGATCACCTCATTCCCAGGGGTTATTATCATCCATAAACTCCTTAATATAACCCATTTTATACAAACTTAGTTTAATAAAGTGTTTGAACTTTGAGCAGGTCAAATTTTGTATATTTTCTGGGGTTTTGTTGTAAAAGCGTATACATCGCCCCAAGAATGAATTACTGACTCGATGGAGTCGAGTAACTGGTACTACTAGCTTGAGTCTGTTCCTAGTATTTACATAATGAATATCACTTATTTTTGTAAAACTACTTTTTTTTTGTATACGTACATTACATTTTCATTAATGTATTGAGAGGCCAAAGTTTAATATATATTTTTTTTAAAAACGTTACCTCAACCCTAGGATTTTCTCCTGTATCGTGGAGGCAGTTTACAAACACAAATTGCATAAGGATAAACATCCAGACCCGGAACAATTATTTATAGGCCATACAAATACTTGTTCCGTGAGGGATTCGAACCCGCAGCCATTTGTGCAGAAAATCATTGCTAAGCCACTGCGCCACGGAGCCGTCATATTAATTTCCTTAATATTTTGTGTGATAAGAAATTATCGCAAACATATGTAACAAATATTCCGACGAATTTAGAATCTTTTCTTTTTTTGAAGTCGGTTAAAATCAAAGATCTGCAGAAGATCACCAAGCCAATACTTACAAGTCAATACCCTCTTCGCCCTCCCTAATAATCCTTTCACAGCCAGCTTCTGATAATCGGGATCCCTCCCCTCCAGTTCCTTCAAAGTACTCTCAGCTGTCGCTTTGTCCTTGAAGCCTAACCCGGGCACTGTGTCCGGTGGGAGTTCCTTCTTCTCCTTAGACTTGTCTTCCATCTCCACATCGGAGCTTGACTCCTAAAAAAAAGCGTTTAAAAGAAGGTTAGGGGTGAAACCAATAAGCCGCAGTACAACCAGAGTGATGGACTAAGCCCAACGTATTAGTAAGCTGAAGTGGCAGTGGGCCGGCCATATAGCTCGAAGAACCGACAACCGATGGGGAAGAAAGGTTCTCGAGTGGCAGCCTCGTACCGGCAGGCGAAGTGTTGAGCATCCCACTAGATGGAGTGACGACCTGGTGAGACATGCAGGTTTGTGGCATTCCTTGGGAGGCCTATGTTCAGCAGTGGACTGTAAAAGGCTGTAATGATGATGATGATGATATTTTAAATCGGGCCTCGGTCAATCAACATCTAAACCACGTGCAAGTGAGGTTGAAACTTAATTAATTTCTTAGAATAGTGGTATGAATTGAGCACACAGTTAACTTCATGCTATGTGGATGCTATGGCCCATAGACAAGAATCTGCTCGAAGAAGGCTAACTTTAGAAGACTACGGGACTTTGCGAGGAACGGCAGAAAGATGCTTAAGACCTTATCTTCGAAAGCATGATGTGTGTAAGTTTTGGACTCATTGAGGGAGAACGTAATAAAAAAGAGAACTGGAATGGAGACATTTGTAAGGAGTCAAGAAAGTCGCGTACTGTACGCGCGTTCCACGCAAGTAACGCGTGCTCCTCCCAAGATTCCGTACAACCGGATGGCTTGAAGGACCATGAATAGAATAATTTTTATTCAATATAGATTACAGGAACACTTATTTGAAAATCATTTTAGTTTTATCACTGATTCGGTAAATCTCTGTCCTGGGAAGAACCAGCAAGGAAACCAGCAGGAGTTTTTTAAATATTAATTTATAATATAATATTTTATATATTTAAGTATGAATAGTACATTTAGAAACAGCATAGTAGCGATCACCTCATTCCCAGGGGTTTTTATTGATCATGTACTCTTTTTTTATAGGAACGGGTGACAAACGAGCACACAGTCCACCTGTTGGTAAGTGGTTACTGTGACCCATAGACATCTACATCTATCCTCAATAAAGACTCAAGATGCAGATGCGTTGTCACCCGTGAGGACTAAGATGGAATGCCTCTTTGCCAGTAAAAAGGGTCTCCGGTTCTTTACACTCACCATACGAAACACAGCAGCCTTAAGCTGCTATTTTACGCTGGTATTCTGTGAGAGCGTGGTCCTACGCCGGTCGAGCCGACCCATTCGTGCTACAACCATAATATAGCTGCAGCATGGCTCTACCACGTAGAGAGATGTACTCTTTAAGAGCCTTATTAAACAATGTTTGCTTAATAAAAATTTTAGACTTTTTGATAGATATGTCGTGCATATTTTCTGAGATTTTGTTGTAAAAGCGTATACAATGCCCCATGAAGGAATTACTGATTTTTTGGTGTCGAGTTGCTGGTACTAGCTTGTGCTTGTTCCTAGTATATACCATATTAAACGTGGTGAATATTTTCATCAAAATTTTAAATCTTATTTACATGAATGAAAAATTACCAATATTTGAGATGAAATATTTATTGACATTTCATTTTAAAATAAATGTGTGTATTAGTTAGTTTGATATTTAATAAATTAATTGAAAATAAAGTATAGATTATGTTTAATTCTACATTAATTAACATTTAAACACCGACTTAATATGGTAAGCCCGTACATGCTCTGTAAATATATTGTAACAATTGTTTACAGAGCATGCATCAAAACTAATTTTACGGATTTTATCGCGTATATTAACTTATTTTTATATTCCCGACGTTGTTGCGTCGCTGTCAACGTCGAGTCCCTGTTATTGTGTATTTTAAAAATATATTTTTGCGAAAAACAAAATAAAAATAGTTTAAAAAGTTGATTTACGTTAAGATACATCAGAATAAGTTGAAGTGTATATAAAAAACGAGGAAATAGTGCAAATATCAGAGAAAAATATAAGAACTGTTCAATTACTTTCTTCGTTAAATTTATAGCCTTTTGTTTTGGGATACAAATCAAACCATAACAAGCACATCAAAACTCATCAGACTGACATGAAAACATCACTCAGAGAAAAGGTCAGTGAAATATTTTCAATATAATCTAAAATTGAGACAAGTAATAAAAGACTATCTCAGGATTTAAATTAACGATCAATATTAGCGCCATCTAGAAGTGAACAGAAAAATCAAAATAACAACGAGCTGTAAATGTCACCATAGTCACGAAGTGTTTATTGATTGCTTGACACACAAATAGAGGGCATTAGCAGTAATATTAAAATTTATTATAAATATTTTTGTTATTTGAGTAATAAAACATGGAAGAACTAACCGTTTTAATTAAAAATTTACAACAAAAGTTAGATGAGCAGACGAATGAAATAAGAGATATGAAACAGAGCATACCAAAAATTATAAACGACAATATAGATGAAAAATTTACAAGTTTAGAATCAAAATATAATTTACTTGAAAAAACTATTGAAGAACAGGGGCGGCGTATACAGCAACTTGAAAGGCTGTCGAGAAGGAAAAATATTATATTTTTTGGAATAGAAGAAACGGAGAAAAACTACTTTGAACTAAATACCAACATTACAAATATTATAAATAACTTAATGAATCTCAACTTGAATGAAGAAAATATTGAATATATAAAACGCCTCGGTAAGAAGGATGATAAAAAAGTTAGACCAGTTGTTGTAACTTTAAATTCAATGATGACAAAAATTCGACTTTTAAAGAACAAAAAGAAGTTAGAAACAACACCATACTATATTAAAGAAGATTTTCCGCCTGAAGTAATAGAAGAGCGTAAGAAATTAACTGTAAAGCTGACAGAGGAGAGAAACAAAGGGAAGAAAGTATTTCTAAAATATAATAAATTAATAATACTACCGGAAAAAAAAGAAGAGAACCAAGCGCACAATCAAGACAATAAAAAATACAATAAGAGAAACCTTTCAGAATCTCCCGAACTCACAAATGATTCTTCTAGCTCGAGGCAACACAAAAAAAAGTTAAATCCAAAAAAGGCAAACATGAACATCAATAGTTTTGTTACAAAAAAACAGAACATAGATAATACGCCTTCTACGACTGCTACCCCTTTTGGAAGTACCACTTCAAATCGTAACAAAATCTGACGTGGCACAGCGACCTCTCCACGATGTTCCCCAATTCGACTGGTCACCGCGGGGACTAACGACCACAACCCTCCACTCCACCCCCTCTACATCTGCACATATAATGCAAGATCCTTACTGTCTGACGAACGTCTACTGGAATTTAAAGAAGCTATTTCAAAAATTAAATATGATTTAATTGGTCTCGCAGAAATTAGAAGAACAGGTTATAGCATTTTGGAAGATAATGAACATATATTCTGCTATTATGGCTTAACTAAAGGCCTTTATGGTGTCGGTTTTTTAATTAAAAAACATTTGAAAGCAAACATTGAGAGTTTTATTGCAATCTCGGAGAGAGTTTGTTTACTGAATTTAAGGTTTGGTACTATGTTTATCTCTATTATCCAAGCGTATGCGCCTACTAGCAAAGCGAAAGACAGTGACTTAATAATTTTTTATGATCAACTTCGGGAAGCTCTAGAACAAAGCAACAAAACCGTCATCCTTATGGGCGATTTCAACGCGTGCATTGGGCAACAACAGTCTAATGAAGAGAGAATACTAGGACCGTACTGCTACGGTAAAAGGAACAAAAGCGGCGCAAAACTAATACAATTTGTATTTCAAAATAACCTTACCTTTGTCAACAGCATATTCAAAAAGAAAACTGTCAATATGTGGACGTGGCTTTCACCAAGAGGGGCAAAAATCCAATTAGATTATATTTTATCTAACACCAAAGAGCAATTTACAAATATTGAAATTATAAATCAGCTAAACTACCCTAGCGATCATCGTCTAGTGAGAGCTACATTCCAAGTAATAAAAACCAAAAAAAGTAGAGCTAAATATAACCGCAAATATTCAATTTTAAAAACAAAAGAGGATGAAAAATTGTTCTTGAAAAAGTTAAAACAAACCATAGAAAGTTCTGGTTTGTGGGACAAATGTGAAAATATAGAGTCATACAATTCAAAAATAACTAAAATAATCATTGATGGGCTAAATTCCACTAAAGAACTAAAAAATCAAAATAGATATATTATCTCTGAAGAAACAAAAACTCTACTCTATAGAAGAAATAAATTAATGCATAAAAAACCGCTATGCAAAGAAGAAAAACAAGAACTTAGTTATTTATTTAAGAGTGTCCATAAACGAATTAAAAAAGAGTATGAAGAACACAGATTAAAAATAATAGAAAAACATCTCATATCCACAGGAAGTCTAAAAAAGGGATTAAAAAAACTGAACTCATTCAAAACCTGGATTCCAAATCTAAAACAAAAACTAACCGGAAAAGAAATTTACTCTAGACCTAAAATAATAGAGACAGCAACTAATTTCTATAAAAACTTATATGCAGAGCAAACAAATTCTCCAATGAACACTTCTGAAGTAAATGCTGGACAGTTATCATCCCCACATTCACACCAGCTCCAAAGATTTACAATAGCTGAGGTCATTAGGAAGATAGAGACTCTAAAGAAAGACAAAAGCTGCGGGCCAGACAATATACCCAACGAGATATTTATAATAGGGAAATATCTATTAGCGCCAATTCTCACAACACTTTTCAATAAAATCCTAGAGTTTAGAAGGATACCAAAAAAATGGGCAGAATCTGACATAACATTATTATATAAAAAAGGAGATCCTGCTGATATTTCAAACTATCGACCTATTAGTTTACAACCAAGCCTCTATAAGTTATTTGCCTCATGTTTAGAACAACGCATTAGTACTATCACTGAAAAATACCAACCAATAGAACAAGCAGGTTTTAGAAAACGTTTCTCGACTATAGACCATATACATACTGTTGAGCAGGTCATAGAGAAATACGAAGAACAAAGACGTCCGCTATACCTAGCTTTTATAGACTATGCAAAGGCTTTCGATTCATTATCCCACATTAGTATGTGGAAAGGTCTGATAGAATGTAAAGTACCATTAGAAACGATTGAACTTCTACAAGACATCTATAAAAAAAGTATAAGTCGAGTAAAACTAGACAAAAAAGGTCCAGAAATAAACATTTGTAGGGGTGTCAGACAGGGAGATCCCTTATCACCAACAATATTTATTACCGTGCTTCAAAGTATCATGAAGCAACTTAATTGGTCCAAAAAAGGCATAAATATACAAGGAAAATACTTAAGTAACTTAAGATTTGCTGACGATATAGTCTTATTTTCAGAAACAGCATCACAACTCGAAGAAATGATAAAAGAACTTCACTCTGTCAGTCACGCTATTGGCTTGGAACTAAACACAGATAAAACAAAAATATTGTCCAACAACTTAGAAAGGCCTATTGAAGTAAACAACCAAACATTGGAGTATGTTCAAAAATATGTATATCTAGGTAAAGAGGTATCTTTTAAGAAATCTAGACACCGTGATGAACTTAACAGACGTGTAAATATGACCTGGGCAAAATTCTGGAATTACAAAGAAATCTTAAAGTCGAACTTTCCTCTAAAACTTAAAAAGAAAATTTTAGATTCATGTATTCTACCTTGTCTGTCCTATGCAAGCCAAACTTGGATATACAACACCTACACGAAAAGAAAAATTGAAACATGCCAGAGAGCTATGGAACGAAGCCTACTTAATCTGAAACGTAAAGACAAAAAACGAAATACTGAAATTAGAAAAAGAACAAATGTTATAGATGCTCTATCTCATTGCAAGAAACTTAAATGGAAATGGGCGGGGCATATTGCACGTATGGAAGATAAAACATGGACTAAGAAGGTCACTACATGGGCTGGCCCTACTGGAAAACGAAAAAGAGGTAGACCTCTAGAAAGATGGACGGATGAAATTGAAAAGTTTGCTGGAGACGATTGGATTTCAGTGGCCAAGGATAGGGAAAAGTGGAAAAATCTGGAGGAGGCCTATACTCGTAGAGAGGTCCTTAACAATAATTAGATAAATAAAAAAAAAATAATATTGATTGTAACGATAATTTTATCTTATTTAAATGTATTTTCTTTCATGATCTGATTATGTTTGTTTTGTTTCTATTTTAAATTATTTAATGAAATTAATAATTAATTAAATGTATTTTAATAATTTTGTTAAGGAAATAAATGGCTTTATAATAATAATATTCCCGACGTTTCGGGTGCTTTCCAGTAGTCCTCCGTGACCACGGGTGCTGGAAAGCACCCGAAACTCCGGGAATATCAAAATAAGTTAATATACGCGATAAAATCCGTAAAATTAGTTTTATTTAAAAATGTGTAGTGTTCGCGTAAATATAAGAAATCATTATATATTGTAACAACTTTATACTTTGTGACATGCAATAAATGAATTATGAATTATTTACAGAATGTACATCACTATTTTTAATGGGAGGTGTTGGGGGTATGTGCCTACCGACAACAACATCTATTCTCGTTTACGAATCAAAATGCAGATGCATTGTCAGCCATGAGGACTAAGATGGAATGCCTTGCATCCAGTAGAAAGGGTCTCCGGTTCTCTACACTCACCTCACGAAACACAACACTATGCTGCTATTTCTACATTGGTATATTAAACTGAAAATACTAACCTTATCCTTTTCGTTGTCTTCGCTGTTATCCTTTTCTTTTTTCTCTTCTTTTTTGTTCTCTTCTTTTTTGTTCTCTTTCTTCTCAGTCTTCTTCTCCTTGTCCTTTTCTAGATCCGCGAGCCAGTTCTCGAACACCTCCATCGCCTCTTTTATGTTCTTTATCTTCTCTTCCGCTTTTGTCACTATAGATTAAAAGATAGATTTCATTAGTTTTACCTGGGCTACAACTACGGAAAATATATTTGCTGTGAGGTAATCTATGTTTTTTTTTAAAGTATAGAATATGGGTGACAAACGAGTACAAAGTCCACCAGATAGTAAGTGGATATTGTTTCTCATAGACATCTACATCTATTGTCTGTTCGCTTAGATACGGTCGCCTTTGTGTTGCACTACCTAGGCACGTGCCGCATCGTTTCAAAGGCGCCGCCGCGACATCAATGGTCGCCGCGTGCGGAGTACACCCGCAGGAGACTTTGGCATTTTAAAACAAAGCGCTTTCACTAAAAGGTTATAAGCTACCTAACTTGTGTTTATTATTTATATTCATATTTTATTACAATAACCATAAGAATAAAATAGTATTATATTTTATTCTTACAATAGAAAAACACTAATTTAACAAACACAGTAAAAATAATAAATAGAAAGCAAAATAACAAGTGCGTCTCCAGGAGTACCGACACTATCTTAGCGAACACACTATATCTTCGATTAGGAATCAAAATACAGTTGCGTTGTCACCTCTAAGGTCTAAGATGGAATACCTTATTTCCAGTAAAAAGGTTCTCAGGTTCTCTACACACTCACCATACGAAACACAGCAACATTCATTTACTCAAAATTAAAAGAATATAGCATGAAAAACTAGGGCACTATTTTGTGGTAAAGCCACAGCAGCTATATTATGGTTGTAGCACGAATGGGTCGGCTCGACCGGGGAAGGACCTAGATCTCACAGAATACCAGCGTGAAAATAGTAGCTTAACGCTGCTGTGTTTTGTACGGCGAGTGTATAGAACCGGAGAACCTTTTTATTGAAAACGATGCATTCCATCTTAGTCCTCAGGGTGACATCATATCTGCATTTTGATACTTACCTGAGGATAGATGTAGATGTCTATGGACCACAGTATCCACTTACCATCAGGTGGACTGTGTGTTCATTTGTAACCCTCCTTCTATAGAAAGCAGACAGACTCATCTTACTCTATCTGAGAACACTGCAACAAGGATTCATACTTACTTGAGAGTACTCGCTTGGCCCTCCCAAGGAGACCCCTGACAGTGAGTCTTCTGTAATTAGGGTCGTGCTCCTCCAAGAGGCGGAGCGTCTCTTCGGCCTTCGCCTTGTCCTTGAAGCCGAAGCCCGAGTCTTCCTTCTCATCCTTGCCCATTGTTCTGTAAAGCGATAAGGTTATAGAAAGTTCATTTCAGTTTACTTTACCAGGTAGTTGGAGTCTTTCTGTCTAGAATAGAATAAAATATTTTATATTCGACTAGCTGTTCCCCGCGACTCCGCCCGCGCATAATTTATTACGATTGGATTTCATTTGTTTTAATTTTTTGCGCGAAACCCTAATTCTTTTATCAAAATAAAAGTAGCCCAAGTTACTTCTTATAACATGAGCTATCTGCCAGTGAAAGTCCCGTCAAAATCGGTCCAACCATTTCGGAGATTAGCCGGAACAAACAGACAGACGGACAGACAGAAAGACAGATAGACAAAAATTTTAAAATTCGCGTTTTTGTTATAAGTACCGTATCTATTTTCATATTATGCATTTAGTAAAAAGTTGTTATTTCGACATTACAAACAGACACTTCATTTTTATTTATTTGTATAGATATAGATTATACTACCCTGCAAGATGACACTGTTGACCAGGGTTAAGAAAGGATTTTCGGTGGTTTGGTCATGTAGAAAAATAGAATGAGGAAAGAGTGACAAAGCACATTTATGTTGCAGAAGTGAACGGTAGAGTAGGCAAGGGACTCCCTAGGCGGAAGTACATATATCGATCAAATTGTAGATATATTGGAGATGGGCAAAATTAAGAGTACCCATGTATGTGTAGGAATATGGACGCGAAGGAGGCGAGGGAGGTAAGTTAGGATTGTGCCAAATGAAAGCCCGTAGTCTCTGCCTAGCCCTCTGGGTGACAGGATATCAGATATAGGAATATCAGAGAATGTTACGGCTCCCAAATGATGGAGAAATACCATCTTATTTACGCCAGGATAGAATATCCAGACCAGCAGCATATTGCAACTTTGCAGTCTGATAGTGCGACCGTCAATCCTTTCTGCGAAGTGTGACGCTTGAGGGTAATCCTGCTTACGATGGGAGGGGCCCATGTCAGGCATTGGACTTTTATGGGCTAATAAACAGGGCCGGCCCTGACCATTCAAGCGCCCCGGGCGAGTGATTCCTTTGGCGCCATTTTATATCTTACTAATGTAACCCCCGTGTAGTGACAGGTAAGAATACCCACTACTAGCTTAGCAAGCGGGTTGGCAAGATCAGATTTTTTAGGTTTAGTTGTTATTACGTGGTAGAGCCATAGTGCAGCTATATTGTGGTTGTAGCACGAATGGGTCGGCTCGACCGGGGAAGGACCACGCTCTCACAGAACACCAGCGTAAAATAGCAGCTTAATGCTACTGTGTTTCGTATGGTGAATGTAGAGAACCGGAGACCCTTTTTACTGGAAACAAGGCATTCTATCTCAGTACTCACGGCTGACAACGCATCTGCATTTTGATTCGCAAACGAGGATAGATGTAGATGTCTATGGGCCACAGCAACTACTTACCATCAAGTGGACTGTGTGCTCGTTTGTTACCTTATCCTATAAAAAAGCACCTAGCCATCTTCTCTATTGAAGTTATAATGTTTTTTTTTTAATTTCAATAGCTTCGAAAATCATCCTTGGAAGGAATCGGTGTTCTTTAGCGAGGATATGTGGTGTTACAAATGCGCTGTAGTGACGGGGACGTTAAAACTAGTTTAATTCAAATGTGTAGTTAGTGTTCGCGTAAACATAAGAAATTTTATCAATTATCTGACTACAACAAAACATCTTACACAAGTATTCAGGTGAATACCGAAGTATTTAGATATATTAGGTATTTGACTAAATAAGACAAAGAAGCCGAATAGGTCGAATACAGAACAATAGCCGAATATTCATTGCAAGTTCACTGAAAACCCTATCATATTATTATTTTAGGCTTATCGCCAAACACAGGAATAACGCAAAAGGTAAAAGGGTTTTGTAAAATGCTGTCTCATAATTGACATCTATATAAGAAATGCTTAAAGTTGCTCTCTCTCTCTCTCTCTCTTTTCACTGACAAAAGAAAGAGACCGGTACAGAGATAATTAACACTAAACTTATGCATACGGTAATAAATTACTTTGAGTAAGACAGTACATGTATAAGATTTGCATATATTTACTATATAAATAATATGTTAACATTTTACACATAAATATTTAACAAACATAAATGGATTTATACAACGTCAAATAGCGTGTAGTGGCGGTGCATGAATATCTACTACGTCATATCATCCCGTGGGTGTCTGTAAGAGGCGACAGATGGAAAACAGGATGTGGGCAGCATCATCTTCCTGATAACAGTTGCCAACCCACCTGCCAAGCATGAGAACAATGATGCCATATTCAGCAGTGCACTTTCATAGGCTGTAATGGACGGTTCGTGGAAACGTTAAATACGAATAATCAATACGGTGGTTAACCGTGGTATATTCTGCGAGACGTTCCCGTTAATATCACATTGTTTTTGGAACGAAGTTCCTTATCGGACGGTACGGGTTTGGCGGATGGGAGCTAGGCGACAAAAAGTGTAAGATTTTTTCGTCACTACCCCTTGTGTCATAGTGTAGACGGCCTTGGCGGCGAAATAAGGAAGTAAGATGTAATAATATCCATCTCCCTCGCACTTTTTCTTATCTTGCCACGAAAGAAATATTATGTTATTTCAAATGACGCTTCATTTTAATAGACGCTAGTAATTAATTTAATTGTATTTGTTAATCAATAATATAATACCTACGTTTATCAATAATAACATACTACGCAAGGAGCTTCGTTCCAACCGAGTGTTCCATGACATTCACGCATTTTTTTTTATAGAATAAGGGTGACAAACGAGTACACAGTCCACAGGTGGATGCTATGGCCTATTAATATCTAAATTTATCCTCGATTAAGAATCAAAATGCAGATGCGTTGTCACTCTTGAAGACTAAAAGGGTAGTAGGTTTCCAGTAAAAATGGTATCCGGTTCCCTACACTCATCATACGGCACACAGCAACTTTAGCTGCTATTTCACGCTGGTAGTCTGTGAGAGCGTGGTCGTACCCCGGTCGAGTCGACCCATTCGTGCTAGACCCATACAGCTGCAGCATGGCTCTACCATGTTGAAATACAGTGTCTACGATGACGTAACGTTTAATTCCGTTTCCGTATCACCTGTACAAATAGAAACATGTATGCATAAGTTAATTAAAACCAAGGTGAATATTATTGTAGACTAAACACGCTGCTTGTAGACTACATTGTTTAATTATTTTTATTGAAAATACATTAAAAGTAGTGAAAAGAAATAAATTTGCATTCGTTGCTTATTGTAAAGACAATAATAAAATGTATTATACTTCTTAATAGAATCATGCAATACATTGCTAATATCCAATATACAGGATGGTCAAAAAAGAGGTATATATACCATTTATTTTATAAAATTTACTATACAACGTGTAACGTGTTTTTTTTTAATTCACCACTATATTACTACAAAACGTTAAATGATATGGTGATGAGTCCTTGATATTAATATACTTAGTCGGGTCACAAGTTCTGTCAAAACCTTATTATTTAAAATTGAATACTGGCTAGATGAACTTCACCAATTTTAAAAATATAACGTTTGCGCTTGCCGAAAATAAAAAAAAGAAATTAATTTTCATTAATTTTCAAATATGGAATGGTCGAAGAAAGAAGACAGAGTAGCGGTTATCGCGTTGCACCGCTGTGGTTACGCGCCGAAAGAGATTTTCAATATCCTATAAAAATTGAAAATAACCCTACGATTTGTTTTTTGCACTATCAAACGATTCATTGAAGATCCAAGCTTCGAAGCTCGTAAGAGGACCGGCCGACCTCGTACAGTTAGCACACCCGTGAGCAAGCAGTGAAGGCGCGAATCCAACGAAATCCTGTTCGTAAACAAAAAAATTTAGCTCTTCAGATGGGCCTAAGCAGAACTACGGTCATAAGAGCGATCAATGAAGACCTAGGACTACGAGCTTATCGTAAGAAGACCGGACATTTTTGAACGAGCGTTTGAAAAAAAATACAGCCTACGCAGGTGAAGCTCCGGGCGGGTCGCCACTAGGATATAATTTAAAATTAAAAAAATTTGTACAGCGGACTTCAATATAAGCGACTTCAATATAGGTTATTTAAGAATAACTCAATAACCATTGGTCTGGCCTTGATCAAATTCATATGGGACCACACGAGAACTATCAGCTGTCATATAAAAAAAGAATCATCGAAATCGGTTCGCCCAGTACAAAGTTATGAGGTAACACACATAAAAAAAAACATACGCGTCGAATTGAGTACCGTCTCCTTTTTGGAAATCGGCAGAAAACCTTTGATCAGACAAAACTTTTCCCTTTTCAGTAAAAATTTTTACACTGGCGGGTTTTTTTGTTTTAATTATTGTTTTATGTTAGTCCATTGAATTTGGTTTTTACCTTTTTTAAAGTTTCTATATTTAAATCAACAGTGAAAGAAGACGGCATTACAATAATATGTCAATAAACGAATAGTATTTAAAGATATTCGGGACGTTAGATGAAATGAGAAAATAGGTCATTAAAAACATCTCCCGCGTTTCCTGGTGCCGTTTATATCTGACCGTACGCTGACCGACTAACGACTGAGAGCTATTTTTGTGCACGCTACTTGCGTGTGCGTTATGTTGTTTTTTACTTATCAACCGACATCAAAAAAAGATGGAGGTAATCGATACGACAGAATTTTTGGAACAAAGTTCCTTATCGGACGGTACGGGTTTGTCTGATGGGAGCTAGGCGACAAAAAGTGTAAGATTTTTTCGTCACTACCCCTTGTGTCATAGTGTAGACGGCCTTGGCGGCGAAATAAGGAAGTGAGATGGAATAATATCCATCTCCCTCGCACTCTTTCTTATCTTGTCATGAAAGAAATATTATTTTATTTCAAATGACGCTTCAGTTTAATAGGCGCTAGTAATTCATTTATTTGTATTTGTTAATCAATAATATAATACCTACATTTATCAATAATAATATACTACGCAAGGAACTTCGTTCCAACCAA